ATTAATAAATTTGATTGGATAAATCGGATGATCATCGCCACGTGACCCGAATTTTCTTCGCCATGGCTAGGGTACTACACAGGTGTGCTGTGACGCACCTCATAAGATCTGGTGTAACATAAAATCAAAACAAACCAATAACACATTAATTTAGAGTAAGGGTTAATACTAATATAAGGCTAAGTTAGATTGTAATAAATGTTAATTATATCCAAAATTTTGCAAGGAATTTTTTTTGTTAGAACGCAAAAGGTAGTTTCATAAGCAAAATTATAAGTTATAAGCGATTTTTTCAAAACATCGCTATTTTTTTCGATTTCACATTACACCTGATCTTATGATCTAATTGGTTGATCAGGTGGGTGCGTTACAACGCACATGCACTAAATTATATAAACTATAAAAAAATTAGCAAAAATACAAAATTGAAAAAATATATTACTTGAAATAGTAAAAAAAATCTTAGAAAAATTATTTAAAAATCAAGAAAAATATATTAAAATCCAAAAGAAGTTTCTTAAAAGAAAAGTTAATCTAAAAAAAACTTGAACCTGAAAAAGAAAAAAAAGAAGACTTAAGCAAACTAATCAAGATTCTGAAACAGAAGAATTATATAAAAATTAAAAAGAAAGAAAACTCACAGCAAAATACTTTAAAAAAAACTACTAGAAAAAATGCTTCAAAAAAGAAAAAAAATTTTTAAACAAATAAAAAAAAAAATAAAGAAAAAAAAAGAAAAAACTAATAGAAGCCACCTACCAAAAAAGATAAAATGAATTGGAAGAAAGAAAAAGTTAAACCATATTTAGAAAAAAATTAGCTATAATAGTATAAGGATTAGATTATTTCTTTAAAGAGGAAGATAAAATAAAAAAAAGAAATACTTGTTTGAAAATAGCCAAAAATCTTTATAAAATGAAGCCACCTTGTTATGGCTTCACTAGCTAGCTTGGTGCAGCCCTCCGGTACGGGCAAAAACCTTAACCGGTGAGGCAGACCGCACCTGGGCGCCCACTAGGGCAGCCGGGTGATGTCGGATCTATAGCTTAGATAGTTAAATATATTTTGATATATGGGAACCCCCACAGCAAAAGGGTGCAATGAGCCAAAAATTTTAAATTTGTAATTTTATAAAAATTGGAAACTAATTGTTATAATTCTTCAAAAAATTGAGTTTAGAAAAAAAAAATTTTTTTGGCCCATTGCACCCTTTTGCTGTGGGAGTCCCCATATATGCTTTGATCTAATAAAAATACCGGCGATGCTGCCAATAAGAAAAAAAAACCGTAAACTCTTACTTTCATTAATTTGTTATTTCTATCATTTTCTTCCCAATTTCGTTGTAAGATTTTGAGATTTTTTGAGTACAACAGGAAATTTTCGCGTGAAAAATATCATGTATCGATATACTCGATATATACTAAGTGACGTAACGCAAATGGATTTTTTATCGTACTGATAAGTGTATTTTTTTTAATTGATTCAGATAAGATTGATGATTCGAACGAATTTGACTTGATTTGGGTAATCATTGTGAGATAGATTGCAATCGGGTAATATTTATAAATGTTTTTATATCACATAATATAAGAAATTTTAACGGTCTCGGGTATAAGCCTAAATTACGACCTATGATATTATTTAATACTCACTATATACTTTTATTCTTTTATTACATATTATAATACGTACCCGCTACTTATATTACGAATATTATAAAAGTTGCAACTTTAGTAGCGAAAGTTACATTTCCGTTACTTCAAAATGTCTGCACCTCTAGACAGCGCCACCAAAAGTAAAAACAAATTGATCCTAAAAACCCCAAAGGTAAAAATTACATATTTTGGTAAAATTTTATGTTTATCTAAAAGTTTGTTACTATTTCTTTATTATGAGATCTCTAACATCATGTAATTATATAGGGAACTCGCGATTACAATGAAAAAGAGATGGCAATTCGCGAAAAAATTTTTTCTACAATTATTTCAGTTTTTAAAAAACATGGAGCTGTAACTATTGATACACCAGTTTTTGAATTGAAAGAAATTTTATCTGGAAAATACGGTGAAGACAGTAAATTAATTTATGATCTTGATGATCAAGGAGGTGAAAAATGTTCTTTACGATACGATTTAACAGTATGTTACTCTTTTTTTGTTGTTACCTGCGTAAAATATTGTTAAACGAATATCATTTATTAATGTATTTATAATCCATTCTTTTTTTGGTTAGGTCCCTTTCGCTCGGTTCTTAGCTATGAATTGTTCTCAATATCCAAATATCAAAAGATATCAAATCGCAAAGGTTTATAGAAGAGATCAACCTGCTATGACTAAAGGTCGTATGCGCGAATTTTATCAATGTGTAAGTTGAAAAATGTTTTTATAAATGCTGATATAAATACTTTAGGGAGGGGATCAAACTTGATTATGATTTATAATTAGTTAAAAAAAAAAAAATCTTACCTGTGATGAGGGTAAGCCTCTACAGTAAATGATTAATAAATGTCTACTCCCTAATGGTTTAATATTTTTCATTCTTATACCGTATTGTTCATTTTATAGGATTTTGATATAGCTGGCGTATATGATCCAATGATTGCTGATGCAGAAGTTGTGAAAATCATGTGCGAATGTTTAACGGCTCTTGATGTCGGTAAATATACCATTAAGGTAAATATTTATCATCTATTCATAAACGAAATATCTACCTTGATTGTAACATAAATTTATTTATTTATTTTATTTTTTATTTTTTTTTTAGATAAATCATCGTAAAATATTGGACGGAGTTTTCCAAATATGTGGTGTTCCAGATTCAGTTATCAGACCTATATCTTCTGCAGTGGATAAACTAGATAAGGTAGATATTGTTAATTTGGCATAAGTACTTATATATTTTAGTAGTTCCTGACATTAATATGATTTTATTAGTTGCCATGGGAGGATGTCAGAAAAGAAATGACAGAGGAGAAAGGATTAGATCCTGATGTTGCTGATCGCATAGGAGAATATGTTAAATTAAAAGGTACGTTTCATATCGCAATTTTTTAAGATTTTGAAATTCATGAGCTAAATATGTTTAAAAATTGTTTTTTGATTTAGGCGGAAAAGAACTTTTGGATAAATTGTTTCTAGACGAATCATTGCTTTCCAATGATAATGCTAAAGCCGGTTTAAATGACATGGTCCTTCTTTTTAAATATTTGGAAATTTTTGGAGTGTTAGATATGGTATTTCTTATTTGTATTTCTTATTGGCAGAAAGAAAGTATTTCCAATGTGTATACTTAATTTATTACTATTATATTATTCAAAGATCTCTTTCGATCTTAGTCTCGCCAGAGGATTAGATTACTATACTGGTATTATTTATGAGGCAGTAACTGAACAATCTGGACCACCAAGTAAGGGCATAATGTAGTTTACTTCAACACATCTAAAAATGATGTATTAATACCTATTAATACCTTTATTTTTATTTTATACATAAGAAAGCAGTGATGAGACCCAAATTATTCGAAAGAAAAAAAAAAAAGATTCAGATGAGCTTGATGAAACAACGGTTGGTGTAGGCTCTATTGCTGCCGGTGGTCGCTATGATAATCTCGTGGGTATGTTTGCCAGTAATAAAAAAGGCAACATACCATGTGTTGGCGTTTCCATAGGTGTAGAAAGAGTCTTTTCCATTTTGCTGCAAAAAGCTGCACTCGAGCAAGTAAAGGCAAATGAAATAGAAGTTTACGTAATGGCAGTTGCTGATGGATTACTGGAAGATAGAATGAAGATATGTTCAGAGTTATGGGAAGCTGGAATTAAGGTTCGTGTATTTCATTATCTAGCCAACCAGACATGAATCAAATTTTAAATATCTTTATGTTTTTCACTCTGATAGGCCGCATTTATGTACAAGAACAAACCGAAATTACAATCACAATTTTCAGTATGTGATCGTGATCAAATTCCTTTTGCTGTTATCATTGGTCGTGATGAATTAAATCGTGGTGAAGTTAGAATTAAAGATATGAGATCTAAAGAACAAGGTGAAGGCGGTGGTGCATTCATAAAACGTAGTGATATGATAACTGAATTGAAGAAAAGATTAGTATCATAAATAATTTATTAAATAGAAAAAAAAATAAACATATAATACATTAATGTTTCAAACATTTAATTATTAATAACATAGTAATTGACCTTGTAAATTAAAATTTATCATGCGATCACGTTCACTTTTCACAAGAGATTTTATGTAACAAATCAATTCGGTTGTGTTCATATTGTCAAACTTATCAGCAATCACCAACGTTTAAAATCCAAATTTGATTTTGTCATCAAAAAAGTCTTTCGAATTTTTGATGTTCTCAGTATTAGAAAGTTACAATTTTTAATGCTATTAAAAAAAATGCTAAACGTTCTCAAATTTCAATAATTTATGCATATAAAATTGTTAAGTGTTCTCAGAGAATACTAATTTAAATACTGCTTATCACACTTTGCATGATAAATTCGATCCCGTAAATTCACCTCGTTATTCATTGATCGTACGATCATTTCAATATTTTCAATTCTAAACCTGATCTAACACTCGAATTGTAGCATTTAAACCCAAAGTTATCATATGATCTTCCGCTGATATTAAAATACTGTACTAACACACATTTACACGAAAAAAATACTGTATCGAGAAAACTCCACAACACATCAATGTACTGTACATAAGATTTATTAAATTCATATTTGATTTATTTATTTATTTTTTTTTAAAAAACAGTTTATAAACTTTGTAATAAAACGAGACGGCCGTTGCTGGGAATCGAACCCAGTATATATCCCCGAAAAGACAACGACTTTTTATACTTAATACTCGAGAGTAAAACTCCGTCATCATATTAAGCTTAAAAAAAAAAAAAAAAACGTTTTTCTTTTTTAAAAAAAAAAAAGAAAATTTAAACAAGCAACATTCGGCGAGTGGGATTGTTAAATCATCGATGTATTTTATAATACACCTCATCCCTGCGGAGGGTTTCGTCTTATATTGCAATTAGTCTAAATTTTTCTTTTAAAAAAAAAAAAAGAAAAACGTTAAAAAAGTAAATCGAACGTAAAAAAAGCATAAAAAGGTAAAAAGAAAAAAAAACCAATGTAGAAAGAAAGGCCACTCTAAACTTAATACTACAAAAGCGATATAGTCGGTAAAATTTGCGAATA